TCTCTCGTGTGATTTCCTTATTTCGCCGCCGGGCCGGCCCGGTTGTCTATTTGCGACGTGTCCAGCTTCGTAAAGTGGCACGGGTTCCTCAATAGCTTTTGCGAAACAATCGAAGCCAAGCCGGCGAACATCTTGGCGTAACAAAGACGACGAAAGTGATTCGAGTCTATCTCTGAGGGAACGCAGCTTACGGCCATCGAGTCTAATGGGAGTTTCTCATCGCGTCAAACTCCGCTGGCGGACTTATCGGTATCGAATTGACAGATCACGACTAGCGCTCTGGTATAAAGGTGGAGCACCGCGAGCAAAATAACCGAAAATCGATAAAGTAATAAAAGCAATTTGCGCGACGCGACGAGAAACAAGGACTGCAATTCCAAATATTCACAACATTTTTTAGATATATTATATGTATGTACGTGCATATGTATGTATACATAGCTTAAGATATATATCTGCATTTATATCATTTTCATAATTGAAAGATCTAAGACATAAAAAGTAAAAACGAGAAAAAGAGAGGAATTTGGAAAAAATGTTTTTAAATAAACGACTCGCGTTAACTTGCTCGTTATGAATATCGCATGTTCAATAAACAGTAGATTATTTGCAATGATTAAAAAGCAGTTTCAAAAATCGTTTGTATAAATTTTATTGTTATGAATTCGATTTGGATCTGCATCATGTTCTGTCGATTACAAAATTTATATTTACGTAAATATAGCAAATGATGTGGTAGAGATGAAGTAAACAGGCTACGGGGAAAGCAAAAACATAGAGAAACGAATGCACGAAATTCGCACGTAAAATCAAATATTTATCGCGGGCGCAAAAGGCGCGCCGCATTTAAGCGCGGGAAATATAACGGCGAAGGTGGTAACGTTGAAACTCGGAGAGATGTAGAAAGAGACGTGAAAAAGGGTGAAACCGAGGGTTGGACATACACCCGCCTTCCTAGAATCCTCGTTATCCGGTCGAGCGGCAGCGGTCGTAACCAGCGGTGGCCACGAAATATCCGAAGAAAAACACGTTTCCAAGTCCGAATCGATAGCAACAATGCTGTGGCGAAGAGAGCGCGAGAGAGGCTTGGCTCTCCCGTGGAAGCGAGGCTTTAGGGTACGACGGAGGGTTGCTTGAGGGTGCGCAGAAGGGAAGGAGATAGAGAGAAATAGAGAGAAAGAGACAGAGAGAGAAGAAAAGAGAGACAGAGTCGGCGGAGTGAGCACGTGAGGGAAGCAGAGGGTGAAAAGCAGAGCAGGGTGGCAGAGGGAGAGTAGGAGGTGGAAACGAGGTGGAAGCGGCAGCCTTATTGGAACTGAGGGTAGGAGGTTGAGTTTTCCTGAGGGCTGAGGGCTGCGAGGGAAAGAGAGAGAGAAAGAGAGACAACGAACGAGAGGGAAAGAGAAAGCGAGAGGAGAGAAGAGAAAGAGGAAACGAAGGAGATAGCTAGCTGGGGGAACGCGTAGAAGTTGATGGAACGAGGTCGCTACAACGTTGGCAACAGCCGGATGAGTAAAGACTGCATTACCTATGGTGCCTCCTCTCCGAGAAACGATCCTCGCTCTACGGTGAGAGAGTAAGGGAGGGAGCGAGAGAGAGAGAGAAAGCAGGTGAGTCGTCGACGCTGCCTTCCCTCTCCTTTGTTAAAGGCAACACGATCATTTCGTCCTCTTTGTTCGCGATATTAAAGTACGTCAGACGCCGAAGCGACTGTGCTTCTATCTACTACCACGGCAGGAGGTGGAGAAGGAAGAGGGAGGAGGGTGAGGTGTCAATTGCGTTCGTTGTGCACGCGTGGAGTGCAAGATCGACCGTTCATCTTCGATGTATTGTATATATCCATCGATCGATCAAAGCTTTTCGGGCATTTCGAAATGTCGATTGCATACAAATAAACTCGATACTTACGTTCGTATAATGCGATAGTCGCAATGGGGCGAGACGTAGTTGAATCCCCTGCAGTCCTTCCTTACATCCTATATGTAATATATTCATTATATCCTGTACGGAATATTCTGCGATCGCATGCGACGTGTTGTTGCGACATGATGCAAGGTTGTCAAAAATGAACAATCGTCAATTCTTACATGTTTCTTTCCTTTCCTTTCTCAGAACAGTGTATCCAGTCAACTTGAGCGATAATACTAATTATAAGACAGTGTAGGAAAAGTAGAGAAGCGGGAAGGAAGCTTGAAAATTGAAATACATCAGAGGAAGACTGAGAAGGATGCACCTTTTTTGGATACGGTGTAAGTTACATATGCAATATTCTCGAGTATTTCAATTTCATATATTTTTCCGTCTGTTCCGCGCGCACAATTTAAATATAATAATATTAATACAGTAATGTAATACTCATGTAATAATAATTAATAATACTAATAATAAAATAATGATAAGAGAGCAATAAGAACAGTGGTAGTAAAAATAGTAGTCATCCATGATTATTACGATAATCTATATATAATAATGATAACCGTGATAAAAGAATGATCGCTGTCAGTAATAATATAATCGCGCGCTCTTACTTGGTATAGACTATACGCACTATGATACAACGATTATGTACAAAATAATATATATATTATACACATACATACATACATGTATATGTGTGTATATAGTATATATATATATATATACATATGTGTGTATATATATATATATCTGTATATAATACGTCCGATGCGACGACACTCTCAAGGGTTCTTAACCCTCGTCTACTTTCACGACAATTATCGAACTTCTAGTACAAACATCTTTTTTTCTGCAAGCACATCTTAAGGCCTATTTATCGGTGTAGCCCACTTTTCCTCACCGGCTAACGACGCGCTATATATTATACACGAAAGACGACTACCTCGAGTAATATTATACACGGAGGAGGGGGCTAGGCTACGTACACAATCAGACACGAAACGGGTTTCGCCGCCCGAGGACCGTCGCCGTGGTCTCGATGCGAGAAACAATCGATTTCTAACTGCAACCGATTCGTCTTACCTGCGGTTTGCTCTACGAAGACGAGAGTCGCTCTCAAAGACGAGAGCTCGAAGTGATGCTGCCTTTGGTATATATAATCGATATCGGACCCGGCGATCGCTAAGTGAACAAGTTATTTCACGAAGGCATGTATAAATCAGTCAAGTAATTTTCGTAAAACAAAATAAACCAAGCATTTATTTATATTTTTCTGAGTAAATCTCAATCGCATTAGATTAATATCGTGTTAATATTCATTTTAAAGAAACGATATAAATGTGAAACATCGTTTAACTATTTCTAGAAGCAAAATTAGAAGAACACGAAGATTTTTTAAATAAAATAAATGAGAGAGAAGGTTATACTAATAATCCGTATAACCCTATAGTGATAATGTTCATTTTTAATTCAAGATTGATATAAAATACGAATTCAGTTCTTCGTCTGAAATAACGTGTTCTATCAGACGGTCACGACGCAGTATTGTTAAAAACCGTTGATAATGGCAATAATACGATAATTAGTACAACGTAAGGGGAAGTTTGCGGCCCGTGGATAATACCCGGATCTCGACCGGTTCGGCGAAACGCGACAAGACGAGACGAGTCGAATCGCGCGCTCAGACTCGCCTCGGATACCCTCTCATTGTGTAATTACACGCGATAACATTATTACGATTACAAGGTAGAACGAGATGCCGGCTAGATGCAACCGGTCCTTTCCTCGTCAATGAAACGCTACTCGATCGCGCATTAACCGAAATTAATTCAGATCCGAGATTGCGAGGGCATTACTATCATTTACAAAAATGACGAAACGCGTTTTCTTATCTCTCGATAAGCACGTTCCCCACGGAAAAATGTTCTCTCTTTTCCTTCAATGGACCTTAAATAAAATTCTGTTAAAAGAAAGCTCGTCCTCTGACAGATTAAACGATATCGACAGATTATGTTGCATTACTTATTTACTGCTCCGATAACTTAATTCGCGCAATCTGTTTTTATGATTTGTAATACAGAAATTATTAGCGCCAGGATATTCCCGATTAAAACGAGCCGTAAAATTCTAAGAGTCCATCATTCATCTGAAGCGTCAGAGTCGTCCATTTTGGATCACTATAATTAGTCGGAGCGAATCGCCGCGCGCCTTAAAAGATGAAAGACAATTCGTCAGGTCGGCAAGGACGCTGAATGTTGTCAGATTCATCGGATAACACTCGAAAGCGAATCGGATCTCCTTCTCCGTCTCTCTCTTTCTCCCTTCCGACTCCGTCCCTATCTCGCTGGCTCGTTGAATATTCAGGACCTTCGCGGTGTCGCCGCGCGGACTGTCGCTCTTGCCCTGCCTGGAATGGATCGATTCGGAACCGAGTCCGGCGGCGCGGCAGCCGGATCACGATCCGGCTCTCTCCACACGTAACAGATCTCTAAATATCGGACATAGAAAGCGCCGCGCGAATCCCTGACACATCGACCCGTATTTCGGACAGACTTGGGGAATTATTCCACTCGCTTGGCCCGTCATCTATATCGGGCGCCGACCGACGTCGAACGCAAGTAAAACGTCAGGCCGGTCGGCCCGATCGGATGAAATGTGTGACACGAGCACGACGACAATAATCGATCCCGTCCGGTTCAATATGTAATTGCGTTTATCTGTCATTTCGCCTCTCGACCAAAGACGGAGAGGGGAGGAGGACGACGGTGAGCAGCCGTTTCTGTGTTCGCAATCGCGCGCGTCAAACGGATACGTATTTAGGAACGAATTAAAGATGAAGAGCGACCGCGATCGACATTTCGTACGCGAAGCCTCGTGCAGCCGCGTGACTACGACAGAAACGCAAATAGGGCGGTCGAATTTTAACGCGTGTCTTTTTGGTAAATACAGACTTCCGTTGTCTGACCGGGACTTAATCTTTTTATCACCGACGCTTGTCTAGAACGAATTAACATCTCGATATATGCGAGACTTACAGGCAGTATTATCGACGCGAGTTATAATTCTGCTTAAGGAAATACTAGTTTTTTTTTTTCGCTTCTTGATAATCATTGCTTTTTACGCACCTCCGAGGAAAATCAGTCTACCCATCTTTTCCTCATACTGATTAATTCACGAATGATTCTCTCCTGTCTGGACCGATACTTCCGTGCCCATCATCATCGTGCCCGTGAGAACATTGGGCGACGTCGATGGTAGAACTAAAGAGCTCGGCGTGAACGACGGTCTCAGTCGCTCAGTGAGCGCCAGCATCACTTGACAATGCAGATGTTGGATGGTTGCCAGTAGATTAAGGTTCGTGTCGATCAAGCCGGTAGCCGGTGAGAACCTCTCCTTCTCGGCGCTCTCGGTCTCCTCGATGAGCGGCGTCGCGACGGGTGAAGCGGTTTTCGATTCCGTTATTTCGGATTCCCTTTGCGCGAGGGCGGCGGCCACCTTGTTCTTCTCCTGGAGCAGTCTCTGCTGATGCTTCAGGTACGAGGTGGTGATAGGTAAGCTGTAATCGATGGGCGTGTTCTTGGGATCTAGTCCGGGGCTCCAGGGCCTCGGCAACGGCTGGCCGGGTTGCGGCGAGGGTGTCCGTCCTTCCGGCAGCATCCGTTTTTTCTTTGACGACGCCGAGCTCTTCGAGCTCGCCCGGTCCGACTCTGGCGTTCTCCTCGATTCCGGCAAAGTGTCCGAACTCGCGAGATAACCACCATTCACCGGCTCCTTCTTCAATAGGTTCGTGATACTCAGCGGATTGTACTTCTCGTCTTTGTCTTTGTCGAGTTTCGAGTCCGCGGCGGCGCTACTACCACCGCCGGTCTTGTGCTGCTTTTGGTGCCTGTAGTTGTGCAAGTTCTTACCCTCCGACGACGCGTGTTGGCCGCCATTGCGCTTAGAGCCACTTTGCACCGACGAAGACGTCGTCGTCGACGACGAGGAGGTCGCGAGAGCAGCGCTACCAGGATTCGGACTCAGCGAAGTTGTCGTCGACCCCAGTGTCGCTGACTGTACGGACTGCGACTGATTAGATAAGTTCGTCGGACTAGGCGTCCGCGGACGCCGTTGGCATTCCGTGCAACCCAGTAGAAATCGCGTTACCGCTTCTCGGGGTAGGAATGCGTATGTCTCTGTAATCTGTAACAGAGAAAGAGAGAGGACCGCTCTCTTTAAATGATTCACATTTCGATCTTAAATATTATACTTGGAAATCTCCGTCTGTTGTACCCTCTGTCATTTATTAAGATTTTAATACTATATCACGCTATTATTTTAACTTTATTGCAAAAAAATTGAACAAGATAAAAATATGTCCAGTTTCTATGAGTTATAACTCATAGATGAAGTCAGGAAGGCCTCTCTCCTTCAGAAAAATATTTCGTACAGTATTTTATGATAATTGTAGGTGATACTGGAATAAAAGTTGTTAACACTAAACTATGTTTCATGCTAAGAATACGACAGCATCCGACAAGAAATATCAGCAAAAATCCATCGAGATAGGGTGTATCGATCAGATCTTCGTTCTCCACATCTCGAACGTTGCGCTGCGACGTACATATATTCAGGCAGAAGCACCGTTCGGTCGGGCAATTAACCAATTCCACCCGGCCAAGGCGTCGCATCCAAGTGCACGTTCGTGCAGTAATAATAGGCAACCACCATTGTCAATCGACGCGTTAATGCGCGCGCGAATGGCCCTTCTCGCACTCCGGGCGAACGTATCGCTGTCACGTGGCGCCGTTTTACGCGCGACGCCCACTGGGGAAAATTCATGAGCAGTATAACGGAACTTTGATGCCTTCTGCGAGAGGAGGTGTTCAGCCGGAGGGATGTTCCCCCGCCTCTTAATAGGAAACGTTTCTCTCTAAGGAAGTTGAGGGGGAGGGGGCGGCATAACTTAATCAAGGAGGATGGCAGCCTCCGTGAGAGCCCGAGAAAGCCGACGGAGGTTGATGTGTACGTGTGCGTATAACTGCACGAGTTCCACGGGAGAAGGGGTAGTAATTCGATAAGATTTACTCGAAACCTTGTAACGAACTCAGAGGGAACAAGGAACGCGAAAAAAAGATGTATTTCTCAAGTGAAAATCCGCTGAGACAATGGATTGTACTTTAAATCGACTTGTTAAAATTCGTCAATATTTCGGTTCGGATTTGTGAAAGCACAACGGGATTGCATTAGAGTAATTGCAACACGGAAATAAATTATAAGATAACTAGAATATTTCTCGATAGTAATAATAATATGATATTTCTGAAGGAACAGCGGCTCGCGTTTATCTAACAAATGTCGAATTTTGTATTGGATAAAATATTGTATTGAATATTTAAATATAACGACAGAATATTGTAGATTAAATAAACAAAGTCTACATTTAGCTTCTCGTGATACATGACAGAGTCTTTCATATTTCGTCTTTATTTTTTACTCTTCTAAATTTAAGAAGTTTTACAATAAATATAAATCGATATGAATAATGATTCTCGAATACAGTTGCAACCGCACAGCTTTCAGCGGAATTCTGAACGGAATTCTAGAAGTTTTGGACGATAATTCTCGCTCGATTACGAGGAGATCGACTTCCGATTAACTTGGAACGGCAAATTGTACGCGTTGTAACACGTAACATGCTGATCCGGATGCGCGTTAAAGGCGCGAGTCGTCAAAGGCGAATTGTGTATACCGGATCGGTCAATTCTGCAACCCTTGCGACGTAACAGCGTCAACTCGAAATCCACCATCCCTTACACGTGTATTGGTGGTATCGCGTTGCGCAACGCGGCACCGTGACATAACGCGGACTCTCCTCTCTGGAGCCGATGAATCCCGCCGCCTAACGCCGACTTGAACGTAAAACAGTTCCACCGTCGCGCAAATGCTCGAGTGTGTGAGTAAGCAGGCAATGCAACAAGTGTCCTGAGGTTTTGAATCACAAGCAGATCGCGGCGTGCAAGAGAGAGAGAGAGAGAGAGAGAGAGAGAGAGAGAGAGAGAGAGAGAGAGAGAGAGAGAGAGAGAGAGAGAGAGAGAGAGAGAGAGAGAGAGAGAGAGAGAGAGAGAGAGAGAGAGCGAGAGAGCAAGAGAATAGATATGATACCCAAGAGAGAGGTTTACGCGAATGCGCCGGAACATGTGAGATGACGTGTGGTATCGAGTGTTCGACGCTTGAACGCCTCGATGCCTTCCTTCGGGAACGGTAAATATCGCGTGTCGCGGGCAACCATGCAGGAATTCACCGTTTTACCGATAACGCCCGAATTCTGAATTCGATCACTTCGCGGATCGACGGATACTCGACAGTTAGTGCCGAGCCTTGAACCAAAGAGTCGGATGCTGAGGGGATATTGTTTGCACGCGGAGATGAGCGATTAGGCCTTGACAATTGAAGACAGGTCACTTCAACTTACGTTCTTTAACCCTTCGCCCGTAAACTGGGTCATAAATGGCACAAGCCGAAATTCAAGATAGAATACCGCCGAAATGAAAAGGGGGGGGGGCTTGCCGTCCCTCGTAAAAAAAGTAGGTAGTGGGGAGAACTCATGCCCAAAGTTTCGTTGGAATTCGCCAGTGTGTGCTTGACCAGCAGCGAGTCAAAGTGCGTCCAGTGCCACTATTGACCCAGTTTACGGACAGTGCCAGACTTTCGTGCAAGTAAGTAAAATTAATTTAACGTCATTTTCATATTACTACAGTTATTTTTAACTTATATAAGTGATATTTTTTTATGATTGTGTATATTATATATACCTATAACCTCAAAATTTGAGTGGATGAAAACACGTGTAAAAAGAAATTACATGTACTTTCAGGGTACAATGGATGATCAAGCGACAAATATCAGATATTATTTACGAGAAAGACGATTTTATATGATTTTTTAATAAAATAATGTAAAAATTACGTTAAAAGTCTTATTTCTCCTTAACCCGAAAAAGGCCATTTTCAATCCTCAGAATAATTATACTTTTTAAAAATGACCCATATACAGAATTTTTTTCTTGAAAGTACACATATTTAACTATAAAACCTCGTTGGAATTTTTTATTTTTATTTAAAACTCAATGAGATATGATTTTTTTAATAAAAATAGATTTTTATCAATTTTTTGCATAAAGAATTATTTATAAACAATTTATCTTATAATGAATCGCTAAATAAACTTTGGGATTATAAAATAGGATAGTATACAAGTATTACAGAATTTTTTCAGATTTTTTGAACACTATTTACTAGGTCAAAATAACGACAGGACATTTATGACCCAGATTACGGACGATGCCAGTCAAATTATAGTTTACGGGCGAAGGGTTAAATATAGCATTGTATTTTTTCAACTCATATATGCGACATTTTAAATTTCTAAATCTAAACCGATAAAACAAACGCTTCTTTTATATGTTAATATGTCTATATGTTTCCAACAAAACATTTGCGAAAGTAAATATAATTTTTTTTAATTATCTTTAAATTATCACAGCTTAAAATTACGACTGCGACTTACCGTTCTGTAGGTGCGCTTCTGACCGGCATGCTTCCCAGGACGTCCTTCGAGATCAACGTGAACGGCGTGGATGATGTCAAAGAAATTCTCCACGATTGCGACTTTCTTGTACACTCTTCCTGGTGGGACCGTACCTTCCGCACCATTTAACGCCTGTGAACAGAATTAAATACAAGAAATGGTGAGAAGCATGTTTAATTCATCATTGTGTGCAAATATAATAAATTTAACGAAATGTTATATGTATAAAAGAATGGTAAGATACGATTTTATGTTTCGCAGTTTCTATTGTCTTACAGTTTTAAAGAAAGTGAATATAATATAAGCGATTCAATATTTAATAAAAAGTTGTGTTACACACAGATATATATAATAATTAATTTAAACAGCTTTTCAAGAACTATACTATATTCAGACGCCACCTATTGACTAAAAGGTAACTTGGAACTTCCCTTCACCTTTCTCAATCGGCAAACGTGTGTTTGGTTCACCAACTGTTACCGACATAACCCTGACAGTCTACTTTACCGACTACTGGGAAGCGAATTTTCCTAGATAACATTACCTGCTTTCGATAAAATAGTCTTCACTCGTTACGTCGATTTTAAAAAAATTCTAATTATAATCACAATTTTGGCGATTTTAACTCTGAAGTTTTAGTAAAACTGCAAAAAAACGAGGTCAAATGTATTGTAGTAAGTCAATATAATTTGCTATCTACGTTCTATATTATATCATAAAAGAAAATAGGTTGGAAAGTATTTTAGCCAATTATGATTGCAAAGAAAAATTTTTCTCGACAGTTTCGTTTTTACTCCATCATACGTAGGTAAGTACTTCACGATATTACGAGAAACTATTTAATAATACATTTTTATAAAAAATGAAATCCATTCCCCAGAATTAGGATTTCGCTCAGACTGATTAAGACAAGTAGATCTTGGACCTAATCTCACAACGCATCTTCCTAATCAAGCCTCGCCGTTTCCCATCTCGCATGCATTAACGGAATTCCTCATCAACCGCGCGAAATTTACTTGTCCCTGTCCGGGCCGGGGGTTGAGAACCGCGGCGCGTCCTGCGTAATCTTAATTAATCTCGTCCTAAGTACCGGCATCGCCCGCGGGCATGGTCGCGGTCAGATTGTTCCAGCGAACTTTGCGACCTCAAGAAGTTCGGCGCGCATGCGCGACATTATTGTATTTCCCTAAACACCTGTTGAAGGGTAAAGTTGAACTCGTGGAGTTTAGCGCGCGAGCTTAAGTGGCTGTGGTCAAGCGGGATAACAATAGCGACGCCTATCCGATCATTCGCAAGCCGTCCTACGAAGGAAAAATCGCCCTCGTGCTCGAATTAATAGTTACCGCTCTAAAATTGCCTCCTTCGAAAATAACCACGACATTAATGGAGCAATTCAAACGATTTTCAATTGTTGCGGGAAAACTTTATTTAATCGCCCCAAATCTACGCCTCGATAAAGACAGAATAAAAATAGATTAATAGAAAACCAATCGGCATTAATGCTCCCGAGTGTACGTTTACGAATACGAATGCGAACATTTATTTACACGTTCGTTAATCAGAGTCGAACGGGAAATCGTTTTATTGGCAAATATGCGTAATGCGATATTTCTCACAGAAATGGTCGCGCGGTACGAAAGGCGAATCGAAGATAGACACGAAATATCATCGCATAAAGTATAGTTTTAAATTGACCGCATCTTTTATTCAAAATCGTATCTTTACTCTATTATTTATGGCGTTAGACATCACAGAGGCTATTTAATTTTAATATTTCACTGTTACTATTACACTATTAACCACACAACTGTCAAAATATGCCATGAAGTAAGCGCAACAAGGAAACCAATCGGCATCGCGGAAAAGCGACAACAATATTTCGATAGATTCGAGTATCGATGACATGCCCTTTTTAGAAGAAGGAGAATGTCGGTAATTTTTATCGTCATTTAGAAGAGGATAGAACGCTCTATCTCAAAATTATTAAGTCTTCCATATCTTTGGAATATAAAAGAACTTCGATGCGCTGATAATTGTCTTATCGTACCCCTTTAGATACTCTTTTATATTTTTATTATTATTATATATAGCACTTTTAAATGCGGTAGACACCGAGCACCGCGTCAGAGGATTAAAACGCGGAAGTGCGTGCACGCATACGATAAGTGCCCCAACCAAAGGGGCTCAAAGAACTATCGGAGATAAATTTAGCCCTTTATCCGAGCTGCCCTCAGTGTCAGCTTCGCGTTACACGGCCAAGCTAATTAAGCGCGTCTCGCCCTCACCTTTACTCACAACGTATACATCTGCGTCAATGATTAGACGATCATCTAATGCATCAGTGGCCTTTGAATCAACATCCTCCCGGTCAAAGGAGCGTAGAACTGGCTTTATCGCTCTGTCAAATTACCAGGAAAGCCGAGAACCCGATCTCACTTTCGCCTGCCTCTCTTTCGAGATAAAGGCGCGAGGGGAAAATAACCCGCATTCACCTCTAACGCTCAGCGCTAAATGTGACCATTCGATCCCGAGTTTTTTTTGCGATGCGAAAATCACGTTCAGGATCGTGAGGTGCTAATCAAGCAATTGCGATACGGGCTAAAATCTTCTTACAGGTGCAATTATTGAAAAATAATTATGGATAAAAAACGCGACACACATTATATAAATCCAACATCTGAAAAAATCGTTTATTTTTAAGAAAAACAAATTTTGAAAGAAGCAATACGATTTCTTTTATCTGGAAAATGAGAATTTCAGAAGAAAAACCGCATGACATATCTTGCAAAATGTAAAACGTCTGAGACAACGAATTTATTCTACGCTCGCATACAAAAAGGCAACTTCTAATAGGAAAATCTTTGCGCTGCATAAATCATTTGCTAATAGACAGAGAATTTCAAGGAACAATTTTTCTTTATTTTATATAGTAATAAAATTATCAGAAGCAATATGAAAGCTATATTTACTGTAATTTGATCTTGAAATCTAATGTTTTTCACAGCCTGCCACTCCAAGAAAACTACATAAAAGTTATAAATTTATGTAAGCCAAAGAAAAATGAAAAAAATTGATTAGTTTAAATAAATGTACATGTGTCCATGATTTAAAAAATGTGTCAATCGATGTGGAATAATTTCAATCAATTGCTTATAGCCGCTCTTTTTAATCGAGCAATTCGCCGAAAAGAAGATCGCTAAGTACGGTGAAGAAAGAACTGAACGCGTCGGGAGACGACGTTTCTCGACGCGACGAGACGGTCCAGAATAGAAACGCGTCAGCGCTGCCATAAATCCCTATATGAGGCGCGTAAGACCCCGGCGGGGCCAAGATGCGCGGCGGCACGGCGAAACGAAAATCCAGATAGGTATGGAGGCTGTTTTTAAAGCCCCCGCGGACCACGAACGAGTTTGCATTTTAAACGAACCCGAACGTTGCTGCCGCCGCCGCAGCGCAATGCCGAGGGGAGAAAACAGCGCGACACGCCGACCGGCGAAGCGGATTAAAAAAATTCACGAGGGAATCGCGCCGCACCGCTCAGCACCGCTCAGCGTCGGGACGCCGCGCCGCGAATCGCGCGCGGACGGGGAGAAAAGTCACGTACCGGGTGGTCCGCGCGAATCGCTTCCTCTTCCGGCGTAGATAACAGGCAGGGCACTCTCGCGCGATGAGAAGAAAAGAAGCGCCGAGGGAGGAGAGCTCGGAACGGTAATCATCACCGGCGCGGGCGAGCACTTTCGAATATTTCCGTTCTCGCGAGATATCGGCGAGCTATCTAAACGACTGGGACTCCCGCGATGTGCGCGGAGTTTTCACCAACTAATGCGCTGTTCGCGAGCAGTAATTGCGATGTTTAAAATATTATAGTATATATTCAGTATTAATTGACATTCAATCCGTATAATCTAGCTATAATGTTCCTCGAACCATTTTTTTCTTATTGTTAGTGCGATATAATCACATATATATTTACTGATGCCTAGTTTTATTGTGGCCTTTATTGCACGATCACGATGACAGAAGATCTAAAATGAGCGCGATGATTTTCACGACAATATGTGTCGTCTCTTTTGACGATACATCCAGCTTAGAAGTGTCTCCGGTACGACTACTCCGGTACTTGTTACTTAAACGACAATTTCACAGTATCTGCGAAGTCGCGTGTAACCGCGGTCGTCGCCGGCGATTGTAAAACATAATCTGCGCGAGCACGGTCTCGCTCGGAAAGCGCGTATCAATGAGTCGAGGACGACCGCTGCGCTAGCCCTGGCTATTGAAACAGTACCGAAGTGGCGTCGTAACGTTGCATAACAACGATACTAGGAAGCGACGGGAAAGTAGCACGGCATCGTTCGTGTGCGAGCGCGCGGGCAGGGGGACCGACCGTTAAATATTCTCTCAACGAGGTCGGATTACCTCCATTACACCCGGCAAGCGACGATGATAACGAGAATGGCGATACGACGACCCGAGGCAGGCAGACGGGCAGACGGGCACAGGCCTGACCGTAGTACCGAGAAATCCTGGCGCAGTTTTGCTGGCACGACAATCACCGAGCTTAGGATATCAGCTCTCCTCGGGGTCGTTTCTTCGGCACGTCGGAGCCCGGGAGGCGTGTGATTGGGTTAGTTTTGGTTTGTTGGGACGGGACACGGTCGGCCGGGCCACCCAGTAGCCATTTAGATAAACGACCGGCCCCTGTTGAGTGCCGCGGGATGCCAGCGCCAGAGTAGAGGAATGAGAGAATAGGAGAGAAAGACAATGCGAGAGAGGGAGAGAGAAGGAGAAGAAGAGAGAGAGAGAACACAAGAGACGGCCGTGTTAACGAAGAATGGGGATCCGCGCGAAGAAAAGCTCCGACTCAACATCGAAGTCATACTCGATATCCAAGGAGAAAAAGTATTCGAAAGCAGGAAGACGGAACAAAGAGATGCGCGATGAGACATATTGGTCCTGTCGAGCAGTCGCTTTTTTCGCCGGAAGCAGAATCGGGTTTATTACAGCATTTCTCCGACCATTGTGTCGCGGTGATTGTGGAATTTTCGATTAACGATTGAATTAAATTACATACGAACGCCCAGAGACATATCCTCTTTTTTTCTCACAATTGCAGAAATTTAAATTGCTCCGAC